TCCAAGGAGGAGAACGCTTCCGTGCTCCGATCGTTCCTGGAAATAACTCATCGTCCCAGGAACCGAATCGAAGGCATCCAACGCGTAGACCCTAATCCGCGTGGTCGCCATACTGCACCCCGCAGCTTCCCAGGCCGTCGCAAGAGGCCTCCGAGCTCGCCCCCAAAGGCGATACGCCGAGGGGGAGATTCCAATGGGGCGGTATCCCCCATTTTCGTTCGCCTGGAGGGCAATGATCACGGCCGAGAACTGGGTCGGGAGGGTGCCAGACCTCTCCATGGGCGAATAGAGACGCGCGAGTAATTCTAAGCTCTCGTCACTTAGCAACGCGAAATGCCGCATGTGGAAGCCGTCGAAGGACACCGCACTCCTGGCAGCATACCTCTTGTTCAGCCCGCGGACGAAAAAAACACGAGGGGTGAATGATGCCCATTCCGCTCAAAATCGATCCCCAGGCCCCTCCCAGGGTCACTCCAATGCAGCTGCTTTTCGCCCCACGTCCGTTTCTGACTGACAGTCCCGGGGGCCGAGAACGGCCACCTGAGGACGGCAAAGGCCACCTGAGGACGGCAAAGGCGGAAATCCTGCTGACTGACCAGAACCAGTGGTGGGCCACCTCAGACCCCCAGCCGGCTCCAACATGGGTCCAACATCGGAGAAAATCGCGACCACATTTCTGCGCCAGTCTTCGAGCCCGGATGTGACAGTCCCGGGGCCCGAAAGGGGGCGAGATCTCAGGGTTCCTCCCCCCTGCTCCTGCCTGCTCCTCCCGCTGCCGCCCTCCTCGGGCCGGAGCGGGCTCGGCAGCGTCGGCAGCTGCCCATTCTGGCACCTTGGGAGAGAAGGGGAGGGGGGAGCGTCGGGTCGGACGAAAGGGGGGGATAGGAAAAGGGGGGCAGTAGCACGGTCGGGAACCTTTGGACAGCGTGTCGCCGCGGCGGCTCCGGCGACACTCTGTGCCTTGCGAGTTGACAGCGTGTCGCTTCGCTCCGCGGGGCGGGAGGTCGAGAAAGGCTCGGGGCGTTGACGTCTGGAGACCAGCACGTGCATAGTGTGTCGCGCCGCAGCGGTGGGCCAGAACCCGCGGAGAATATTTGTTCGGCGGCGAGCGAGGGGGGGAGTGATAAGGAAAGGGCCTTCTCAGAAGACGGCGGGACTTCTCAGAAGCCCTCGCGCCTTCTGAGAAAACTTTCTGAATCATCGGGAAAACTTAGAAAACTTCTGAGAAGGCCGAGGACTTCCGAGCCTTCTGAGAAGGCCCGCCCCTTCTCACTTCCCGCCTCGCGCGCCGCCGATTATCAAGTCAGCGGGCGCAAGCTAGCCGACACAGGTGCAGGCGCCGGTCGAGAAACGGGCGGGGCGCACCAGAAGCTAATGGAGGCAAACAGGGTGCACTCGCGAAAATACATACGCAAATCCTTGAATCACGTGTGCTTTAACCTTGCGATCCCACAAACCCTGTGGCCGTAGGTGAATTAACGACCTGTCTCTTCTCTCTGCCAAAACTTCCTCCTTCCCTTGCTGGGGGGAGGGGTACGGCGGAATGCGGGAAGAGCAGAAGAGAGACCAAGATATAGCCGCTCAGATCATGTAGACCTTCAATCCACCGGCGGAACACGCTATCCAATAGTTCCCGACCGTAGCTGGTTTCCTGGCGCCTCCCGGCGCCAGTAGGCGCCGATGTGTCGACGAAGGGCTCCAGGCGGCGGGGCCAGAACCAGCTACGGGCAGCAGATGTCGTGCCCCTCCCCTTCCCTATGTTAAGATGAAGCGAGGACGAGGATAACTCGAGAATCTCTGAGATCTGGCAGCTCTGGGGAGGATGTCTCGAGCGCCAGGGCCTTCTCAGAGCGATCCCGAACACTCTGAGAGTGTTCTGGAACGCTCTGGAACGGATGTATATATCCTCGTCCTAGCCAAGCCCGACGATCCCCCGACTTTCGTCCAACCCGAGACGTGGAGGGGGTGGGGGGGAAGGTAGGAGGGGGAGAGAGCTGGAATAGGACGAGCCCGCGCAGGAGAGACCCGAAAAGGGAGGCACAAGGCGAGACATCATCCCCCTTCTTCCTCCCTCTTCTTCTTCTTCGTCTGTTCATTCGTACTCTTGCTCTGCTTTTCCTTCCTCCTCGTCCTTCTCCCTCCATCCTCTCCCTCTCCCCTCCCTCCCTCACTGCCGCCCTCCCCGCCCCTCCCTCCTCCTTCTTGGGCAGGCATCTGCGCTACGGACGGCCCCAAGGGGCCCATAGCAAACAACATCATACTCTGGATGCTTGCCGCGGGCATCACGGCCTGACCGAAATCCGCCTGGACCCACGCGTGCGGCATGCTGGCGCGGTGGAAGCCTTCTTCCTCCCTCCTCCATGGAGAAACTCAGCAACACATGTCCCCATTCCACAGACCTCACTCGGGTGTGTTCTGACTAAGATTTCGGGGCGAATCCAGCCGTGGTGACGAGGGTTCTCCAGGACGAGCAGCGGTGTGGGTACCCCTTCCCCCCTTGGGGTCCGGCGTCGTGAAGAAAGCGCAGCATCGGACAAAAATCACGACCCGAGCCCTAGACCGCACCTTCTTTCTGCGGCATGTGACAAGCCCGATCGACCCGCCATGGCGCCCGGGCCCAAACCGGGGCGAACACGCCCAGTGCGCAACAATTGTGACGCTCGGACCTCATCAACTCCATCCTCCTCCCTCCTCCTTCCTCCTCCCTCCTTCTCCTCCTCCGACTCCTCCTCCTCCTCCTCCTCCTCCTCCTCCTCGCACGTGGCCGTGTCTCCTCCCTCCTCCTCCTCCTCCTCCTCCTCCTCTTCCTCCCAGCTCCTCCTCTCGTTCCTCCTCCTCCTCCTCCTCCTCCTCCTCCCACGTCCT